CCTCGTCTCGGGCCCCCGGGGCCCTCACAGATCGATCCGGCCCGAAACGAGGCGCAGAAAGGTGGGGTTCGGAGTTCCCGTGGTGATTTGTTTGGGGGGGAAGGTATACTTGTCTGGCCGTGTGAGAGCTGAGGGGGCAGGAACCACGACGTCGCGAAACGAATCGCCACGGGAGCTCTCGGAGCCCCGTTTCCCCGAGGCGGGGGCCCGGAGGCCCTGGTGCCCCGAGCAGGGCGGAGCGGAGCGGCGGCGCGCGTGGACTTTCCCACGGGGCCCACGTCAGAGGGTACGGCAGGGTCGCTCCGTGTCGACCAGCGGCGGCACGGCCGGCGGCGTCCAACGTGGAACGCCGCTTGCGACCCAGAATCGGTCGATGTTGGACGATCCGACGTACCGGGAACGTCCAAAATCGCTCGAGGTTGAACGCCCGCGGTGTCAGGAGCCAACGCCCGGGTCGACAAGACACGAACCCGCGGCATCCGTAGCCTTAGGTCGGGCATGTCATTCTACAGAAGGATTTTGGACGAAAAAGCATCCCACAAATGCCCAACATTTCTCAAAACATAGAACAATCGTCCCCAGACTATTTTTCCCGGAAAGGGCATGAGCCCAGGGTTCTCTTTTAGTTGGTAAACCTAATCCCCCGGTGCCTGCTTGAAGGAGGCCGGCGAATTTTTTCCCTGATAAATAACGAGGTCGAAGGAGGCCGGCGAATTAAAATTTGAGGATGTCTCGAGCGAAACGCTTGTTTTTGAAATCCCGATCGATAAATCACAGGGTGCGGGCCACTTTTTCGTGTGTTGAGGATGTCTCGAGCGAAACGCTTGCTCCGCAGAGTTTGCCGAGGATGTCTCGAGCGAAACGCTTGTTTTGCAGAGCCGACCGCGACGCGGAAAAGCGCCCCGCGCGAAGGAATTTCGATGATGTCTCGACTAATTCCTTTGTTTTTGCACGATTTCCTGGAATTTTGGCAGGATGTCCAGCACGACCACGCCCAGCACGACCACGCCCCAGCACGACCACACCCCAGCACGAACACACCACAGCACGACCACGCCCCAGCACGACCACACCCCAGCACGACCCCACCCCAGCACCAGCACGACCACACCCCAGCACGACCCGATCGATAAGTCACAGGGTGCGGACCACCCCAGCACGACCACACCCCAGCACGACCACACTCCAGCACGACCCCACCCCAGCACGACCACGCCCCAGCACGACCACACCCCAACACGACCACACTTCAGCACGACCACACCCCAGCACGACCCCGACCCAGCACGACCCCACCCCAGCCCGACCACACCCCAGCACGACCACACCCCAGAACGACCACACCCCAGCCCGACCCCACCCAAGCACGACCCCACCCCAGCACGACCACACCCCAGCAGGACCACACCCCAGCACGACCACATCCCAGCACGACCCCACCGCAGCAAGACCACACCCCAGCACGACCACACCCCAGCACGACCTCACCACAGCACGACCACACCCCAGCACGACCACGCCCCAGCACGACCACGCCCCAGCACCACCACGCCCCAGCACGACCCCACCCCAGCACGACCACCCCCCCAGCACGACCACCCCCCAGCACGACCACCCCCCAGCACGACCACACCCCAGCACGACCACCCCCCAACACGACCACCCCGCCTTGGTTGAGTGGTTGCTGCACGACCACGCCCCCGCACGACCACACCCCAGCACGACCACACCCCAGCACGACCACACCCCAGCACGACCACACCCCAGCACCAGCACGACCACACCCCAGCACGACCCGATCGATAAATCACATGGTGCGGACCACCCCAGCACGACCACACCCCAGCACGACCCCACCCCAGCACGACCCCACCCCAGCACGACCACGCCCCAGCACGACCACATCCCAGCACGACCACACCCCAGCACGACCACACCCCAGCACGACCCCACTCCAGCACGACCCCACCCTAGCACGACCACACCTCAGCACGACCACGCCCCAGCACGACCACACCGCAGCCCGACCACACCCCAGCACGACCACTCCTTAGCACGACCACACCCCAGCACGACCACACCCCAGCACGACCACACCCCAGCACGACCCCACCCCAGCAAGACCACACCCCAGCACGACCACACCCCAGCACGACCTCACACGACCACACCCCAGCACGACCACGCCCCAGCACGACCACGCCCCAGCACGACCACGCCCCAGCACGACCACCCCCCAGCACGACCACCCCCCTGGCACGACCACCCCCCAGCACGACCACCCCCCAGCACGACCACACCCCAGCACGACCACACCCCAACACGACCATACTCCAGCACGACCACACCCCAGCACGACAACACCCAGTCGCACCCCCGTGGAATGTTTCGTGGGGTGTCTGGTTGAGTGGTTGCCTGTTCGTGGGGTGTCTCGTGGAATGTTTCACGGGGTGTCTCGTAGAATGTTTCGTGAGGTGTCTCGTGGGTTGTTTCGTGAGGTGTCTCCTAGGATGTTTCGCGGGGTGTCTCGTGGGATGTTTCGTGAGGTGTCGCCCAGTTGGATATCGTGAAAACGTGACCATGCTGCACATGTCTATATCCCTTTCCGGGTTCGTGGGTCCATCATGTTTGACTATTCTCGAACGTTCCTCCTGTAGAGGGACGTGCCCGACTTAACCACAGCCCCTGGTCCCAGGATCGGCCCCGGCCAGGGTCGGCGTTGACGTCGGTGCCGCGCCGCCCCCCTGGAGAGGGAGCACAGCACCCTGAAGCTCGTCGAGCAGCTCGACCACGCGATGCAGCTGAGAAGCTCCTTGGACACGATAGCGCAGGAGCGCACAGAGGAGGGGGGGTCACGGCAGGAGTGAGAAGAGGAGGGAAAGGACGCGGACGATGACGAGGATGACGATGATGAGAATTGTGGTTGTGGTGGTTATGATGATGTTGATGATGATGGTGATGATGACGGATGATGGTGATGATGATGTTGGTGATGATGGTTATGATAATGATGGTGGTGATGATATTGATGGCGATGATGATCATGGTGGTAGTGGTGATGGTGGTAGTGGTGATGCTGCCGCTGATGATTCTGATGATTAGGATGATGATGATGATGCTGATGATGATGATGCTGATGATGATGATGAGGTGATGATGATGATGATGATGATGATGATCATGATGATGATGCTGATGATGATGATGATGATGATGATGATTAGGACGATGCTGATGATGATGAGGAGGATAATGCGGATAAAGATGAGGCTGAGGATGAGGACTGATGATGATGATGATGATGATGATGCTGCTGCTGCTGCTGATGATGATGATGATGACGACGATGATGATGATGATGGTGATGATGATGATGCTGATGATGATGATGATGATGGTGATGATGATGATGATGGTGATGATGATGATGCTGATGATGATGATTGATGGTGATGTGATGATTGAATGATGTGATGTGATGATGATGATGATGATGATGATGATGATGCTGATGCTGATGATGATGATGATGACGACGATGAATGATGATGATGATGATGATGATGATGATGATGATGATGATGATGATGATGATGATGATGGTGGTGGTGGTGGTGGTGGTGGTGGTGGTGGTGGTGGTGGTGATGATGGGGGCCGAGGGGGGAGCGTGGAGAGAGACCCACAGCCTTCTAAGCAGGCCCTTCCCTTCGACCCACGCCGCGTCCCACGCCCTCCCAGACCCCCGATTCCATGACTTCTTCCAATGCTTGGCCCTCGTATCTCTCGACCATCCGCCAGGGATCGGCTTTCTCGTCCTGGATCGGTCCCTGACGGTCCCGGAGCCCTGGAGCTGCCCCCTGAGGTCGAAGTAGATGTGTGTTTATATATATATATATATATATATATCGATTTATTTACATAAACATAGCAAGCATATATAATGATATAGAACAATTTGACGTCGAAGTTCGAATAATGAAACATTGCATAACCATAATTTCTCGGAGGTTCGCACGGATTTCCTGGATCGGCGCTGTGCCCTCCCTGCTGCGCCTCTGGCGCCGCACCTGGCGTGCTCCGCGCGCCGGGGGGGGGTTTTCCAGCGCCGATCCAATACATCCGCGCGGGCCTCCGAGATATCCGTAAGGGCTTCGCCCCCTGCCGCCGGCCCTCACTCGGAGAATGGGGTATGCAAGAGCTATGTTGTGAGGCCTGGGCGCCGTCGTGAAGCAGCGTCGGAACTCCGAGCGATGTCCACTGGAGATATGAGCGTGCCAGAATGCATCAACAACTTTGTAGGAGAATCGCAGATGCTGGCCTCTTGGGCCCCTCTTGGGGGTGCTCTTGGAGCGCTCTTGGGGGCCTCTTGGAAGCCTCCCAGCCCGTCTTGGGACAATATTTGGCGCCTTGGAGCATTCTTGGGCCGTCTCGGATGCCTCTTGTACCGTCTTGGGGTCGTTTGATGAAGGATTGTGACGTCGAAAGCGCGAATACTGCGTTCTTGACCATGGTTCATGATTTCGGGACGCAAAGAACGTGTAACTTACAAGGGATCGTGGTTTCGGGGATGCAAGTATTGAGTAATATCTGAAGAATTCTGCTCTCGGGAGCGCGAACACAGCGTAATTTGCGAGTGTGTGTGTGTGTGTGTGGCTTCGGGGGCGCGAATGTCGTGTAATTTGCGAAGGATGATGGCCTCGGGGGCGCGCACATGGTGTGATTTACACTGCATTCTGGTTTCGGGGGCGCGAATCTGCGGCATTGCATGTGTCCCAGGACCCCCCCAGATTTTGACCTTCCCCCCCAGGTGGTGGTAACCAGAGCCCTTTTCCCGGAAAGGGCGCGGGCCCAGGGTTCTCTTTTAGCCGTTTACCCCCGGATCTGACGGGTCAAGCGCCGGCGAAATTATTTGCGATAAATAACGAGGTAAAGTGTTGATTTTTTTAGAAAAAGTGCGTTTTGTGCGTGCCCGCTCGAGGAAAGTTCGCCCCCCATCTCGGATCCTCGATAAATAACGGGGTCCGCAGACCCCCGCTTTCCCTCGTAAAAAAGAGGGTGCGGAGCGTTTTTCGCAGAATCCTCGAAAAATAACGGGGTCTGGAGCCCCGACCGCGACTCGGAAAAGCGCCCCGCGCGCAGGAATTCCGAGGATGTCTCGCGCGTGCCGCGTCCCGCGCGCAGGAATTTCGAGGATGTCTCGACTAATTCGCTTGTTTTGTCAGGATTTCTTAGAACTTTGGCAGGATGTCTCGAGCGAAACGCTTATTTTACATAGTTTGTGGAGGATGTCTCGAGCGAAACGCTGGTTTCCGCAAAATTTGGAGATGTCTCGAGCGGGGGGCCAGAATTCAGAGGATGTCTCAGGCGAAATGCTTGTTTTCGTGTCCCGCTCGCGGGAATTCCAAGGATGTCTCGCGCGGGCCGCGTCCCGCGCGCAGGAATTTCGAGGATGTCTCGACTAATTCGTTTGTTTTGTCAGGATTTCTTAGAATTTTGACCGGATGTCTCGAGCGAAACGCTTGTTTTTCATAATTTGTTGAGGATGTCTCGAGCGAAACGCTGGTTTCTGCAAACTTGGGGATGTCTCGAGCGGGGGCCTCGTGGGGGGCCAGAATTCAGAGGATGTCTCAGGCGAAATGCTTGTTTTCACGTCCCGCTCGCAGGAATTCGGAAGATGTCTCGCGCGTGCCACGTCCCGCGCGCAGGAATTTTGAGGATGTCCCGTAGCGCGTCCCCTTGGCACGGCCTACGGTGCGACCCCATGGCACGTCCCTTGGCACGTCGCCTGGCGCGTCCCTGGGGACGTTTCGCGGCGCGTCCTCCTGGCATGTCCCCCTGTCAATTAGCTCTGGGGCAGCTACTATGTGTTCAGGAAGCTCGAGCTTCAGATCCAGATCAGTTCGGTCAGGACTTGGATGCAAAGGAAGACTCGCGCGCAGGAATTCCGAGGATGTCTCGCGCGTGCCGCGTCCAGCGCGCAGGAATTTCGAGGATGTCTCGACTAATTCGCTAGGTTTTGCAGGATTTTCCGTAGGAGGGCCAAGGAGAGGCCCCGAAGGCTCTGGGAGCGGCGACGACGACGACGACGACGACGACGACGACGTCTCTTGGGGTTCTCTTGGACGGTTTGTAGAGTCCACGCTTACATGATCGACGGGTCGAGGACAGCGCGACGACGACGACGTCGCGGTGGCGGCGGCGTCCACCACGACGACAAAGTCTCATCTTAGAGCCTTGCGTGGGGGGGTCTCTTGGGGTTCTCTTGGAGGGTCTCTGGAGGGTCTGTAGAGCCCACGCTTACACGATCGAGGGATCGAGGACAGCGCGACGACGACGACGACGTCGCGGTGGCGGCGGCGGCGACGACGACGACGACAAAGTCTCATCTTAGAGCCTTGCGTGGGGGGGTCTCTTGGGGTTCTCTTGGAGGGTCTCTTGACGGTTTGTAGAGCCCACGCTTACACGATCGAGGGATCGAGGACAGCGCGACGATGACGACCACGTCGCGGTGGCGGCGGCGGCGACGACGACGACAAAGTCTCATCTTAGAGCCTCTCGTGGGGGGGTCTCCGGGGGTTCTCTGGGAGGGTCTCTTGGGGGTCTGCAGAGCCCACGCTTACACGATCGAGGGCTCGAGGACAGCGCGACGACGACGACGACGTCGCGGTGGCGGCGGCGGCGGCGATGACGACGACAAAGTCTCATCTTAGAGCCTTGCGTGGGGGGGTCTCTTGGGGTTCTCTTGGAGGGTCTCTTGAGGGTCTGTAGAGCCCACGCTTACACGATCGAGGGATCGAGGACAGGGCGGCGGCGGCGACGACGACGACAAAGTCTCATCTTAGAGCCTTGCGTGGGGGGTCTCTTGGAGGGTCTCTTGGGGGTCTGTAGAGCCCACGACGACGACGTCGCGGTGGCGGCGGCGGCGACGACGACGACAAAGTCTCATCTTAGAGCCTTGCGTGGAGCGGTGTCTTGGGGTTCTCTTGGAGGGTCTCTTGGGGGTCTGTAGAGCCCACGCTTTCACGATCCGACGACGTCGCGGTGGCGGCGGCGGCGACGACGACGACAAAGTCTCATCTTAGAGCCTTGCGTGGGGTGTCTCGGGGTTCTCTTGGAGGGTTTCTTGGGGGTCTGTTTTTCAGAATGTGTTGAGGATGTCTCGAGCGAAACGCTGGTTTTGCAGAGTTGGGGATGTCTCGAGCGAAACGCTTGGTTTCAGAATTTGTTGAGGATGTCTGGAGCGAAACGCTGGTTTTGCAGAGCCGACCGCGACACGGAAAAGCGCTCCTCGCGCAGGAATTCTGAGGATGTCTCGCGCGTGCCGCGTCCCGCGCGCAGGAATTTAGATTTCTTGTGATTTTGACAGGATGTCTCGAGCGAAACGCTTGTTTTTCAGAATTTGTTGAGGATGTCTCGAGCGAAACGCTGGCTTTGCAGAGTTGGGGATGTCTCGAGCGAAACGCTTGCTTTTCAGAATTTGTTGAGGATATCTCGAGCGAAACGCTGGTTTTGCAGAGTTGGGGTATCTAACATGGCGTCGGGCCCAACGCCGAATTATGAGGAAAAGTGATGGTTTCTTGCTCTGAACAGGGGGGTGCGCTTTGGGGGCCTCTCCAGGGAAGACGTTGTGAGGATGTCTCGAGCGGGAGCGCGAATTCAGCGTATCCAAGTCACGCAGAGGGGTATCTAACATGGCTGTCCCGAGCTGGAACCACGTGTTTTTCCCGGAAAGGGCGCGGGCCCAGGGTTCTCTTTTAGTAGGTTAACCC